GCGTCAGTGAATTAAAGTAAAAAAAACGATTAATGCATCGTCTATACACAATGTCATAATTCAATATTGATATAAGACAACGACGAGAAATAGGAAGATACCAAATTACAGGGAGAGACATTGCTCAGAATAATCTGAGACGGAACCATAAGTTCCAGAGAGTAAGTGTTTCTAGAAACTATCACGATGTCTCCTATAAAATCCAGGGACATTTGTTGATCAGCAACGATCTGAAACACTGAAACATTCTTTAATAATAGTAATGGCAGACTTTCATTAATATAGAATGACACCTGTCAGGTAGAAATTCACGAGTGAGTCAACAGAACGCATGTATCCAGACAATGTGGATACAAAGGACATGCTCTTTAGTAGTGAATCGACTGTAAAGAGAAGCAGAAACTACAATGATAATACTGAGTAAAGGAACGTTCAGGATGTACACCTCTTAGAAGTCAAAAAATTCCTGTATTAAACTCTTTTTCTTATATTGACTTTTGGAAAAAGGAGATAATGGCATAGTAGAAAATGCAAAAAAATACATATGTCCGTGTGTTCGTTTTTGTGCTATAATCGGTCAAAGATACCAATTTAACACAATAGGTGATTTTAGGTGAATTTTCGGGTTTTGACCATTTGCAGAACAAGTTCATACAATTTCTTCCAAGTGTGTTATCAGATATGTATGAATGTTTGTAGAATTGATAAAAATATTATTTTCTTTTAAATCATAGAAGTAAAATTTCTTAATTTTATTCATTTTACTCAGAAATCGGATTTTAGTTACCCCTACCCCTTATTTTTTAATGAAAAATGCACATTTTTTCACCATTATTTGCAGATTAAACGCTTGATATAAGCAAATCCTGTATTAAACTTTTTTCGGTATTCAATGAATCAAAAGAGAATGTGTTTCTCTTTCTAAAACAGCCACAAAAATGGGGGGTCGGTGTGCTTCTTTTTGTACCATTATTATTTGTGTTATTTTTCACCTTTTTCGGGGTCAAAAATCAAAAGTGCTTCAATTACCCTAATATGTAAAAAAAAATAAAAATACCAATAATATATAACTGTCCACTTTTTTGCATATTATTTTAATCATATTGAACATTATAAAGTTGTGCAGCAAAATTGAACCTGCTACATTTAAAAATGGTGACACGATGACAATTTAAGTGATTAATCTAGTGTCAAAAAAGGTGAAATTTTGCCCTTTGTGAAGCGCAAGAAATTCACATAAATACACTTTTTCAAAATGGCCGCCAAATTGGTCATTTTTTTCAAATTCTTGTAAAACAAATTCTACACACAACAGACATCTAGTTTTTTGACATGTTTTTCAGATCTGTGTTTGCTATTAAACCCCTCATAATTTGTTGAATATTACAAAAACCCGTTACACCAGATCAAAACGAGACTTGAACGTGACTGAAACCTCAGAAGAGTACATCCTTAAAGCCTGTGCAATTTAAATGGTTACGTTTGCTATAGAGTTTAGTAGGGAGGTGACCATTATTACATGTCAAGACAAAATCTGAATATTAGAAACCGATGGTTCCGGAAAATAGAAAAGATGCAGTAAAAGTTGTTATTATTTGAGACAAAATATGACCAATATGGTGAAATTTGCTTACTGCTCGTGTAGGTAGGATAGATATAAATGAGTATTATTAATTATACAGCAGAGTACTGAATATGTAGTATGAATACAAATAAATGAACAATTGTGTTTCATTGTAGGTAATGTATCAGTCAATGTAAAACATTTTGAATACAAGAAAATTACGCGATCAGTTATGAAAGGAACGAAATAATAACGCTGTTTAACAAATGGGCAGTAATTTAATAAACTATAATGATTTACGTTATAATTGATATTGTACTGCTTCAAAACCATACTGATAACATATATATAACATACTGATTCTAAACAATACTTATATCATATATATAAAATATACTGATATCAAATAAACTATACTCTTATTATTTACTATATCGATGTATTGTATGACTAACTTATACTAAATATAAAACATGACTAGAAACTTTAGATTATCATATATATATAGATCGATGTCTAGCAAAATAATAAAGGTATACACATCAATCAACACAGAGACTACAAAACATCTTAACTACAAACATTAATTGATAACAAACAACAAAATAGTTAAATGTATAAGTTTTGCAAGCAGTCAATCGCTTATATACTACACGTCATCTTCACGAACAAATGTGGCGGAAGGATACAGGAGAGGGTTGTTATCGGGCCTCCATGTGAGAACTGTGTAGAACCCACGATTCCCCGTCGTGTTTCTCCCTCCGCTTATCATATCCGAACAAGTCCCGACAGATATTATCGCACTCTTTGGCGCGCAAAATATCATTGTTTCACCGTAAACTATTTGAGTTTGCAACGAATGATTGATAGTATACATGAATAAAATGGACGTATTATCTTCTTTATTCTGTTTTTAAAAAATAAATACATTTTAAGTGAAGTTCAAAATGGAACAAGGAAAAAAACGCATTAATCTCATTTCAGCATCAAGATATATATAAGACCACTGATACGTTTGCTGCATGTTGCGTTTTCTTGAGTATAATCTGATATATATTGAATTTCTCTATTTTTGAAATTGCTATACAGGCGACAATCAGAGAAATGATTCGCTAGTGGTATATTAGAGAGAAATAATTATAGTTCTGTCAAAGTTTGATGTAATCACGTTGATCCGCAGTAGACTGAGGCGTCAGGGAGTCTCGGAAGAGGTCTGAATTCACGTTAAACGATCAAGGGACCACCAGGGTCGCGAAAACAGATAGATGCTCAATAGTTGAAGGAGGCTAATAAAGACTAATTTTGCTCTGTTACTTATCTATAGGCAGCCTGTTTGGATGGTAAATTACATTAAAAACGAAATCAACAAAAAGTGACATGGAGTGGGATTCAACAACGAGTAGTCTTCTAACTAGAGATAATTTATTCTCCACGTGGGGATTAGTACGCTAATATACATTGTATATTGTCCTTGTCTTATATACTCTCAACTGATAGCGTTTCATTTTATTATCAACGATTGTAATTGGGCTACTTAATTCATGATAGCATTTCGGTAAACTGTGATGAATAAAAAATGATTAAAACATTATAGTTAGTCTTCTCTCTCAGATTTGCTCTCAGCCTCTCTCTCTCTTTCTCTCTCATCCTCTCTCTCTCTTTCTCTCTCAGCCTCTCTCTCTCAGATTTTCTCTCAGCCTCTCTCTCTCAGATTCTCTCTCAGATTCTCTCATTGCTTTGTAATAACCTCTATGGAGACATGAAGAATGTGACTATAATGTGAACAATTTGGTATTTTATTATAAATGGAAGCTTAGATAACAACCATTATTTTTTCTAATATTTGATGATTTGATACTAAATCGATGACGTGTATCATACGTATGTATATTATTTAGTTCTCAAGACAAGCACATTTATTGCACGAATGACTTTGTACAGTGGCACAAACATAAAACAAAGAACAGAAAAATGGTTTCACGCCGTCTTTCCCTTCTTTGTTTTATGTGCCACTGACTGTAGTAAGGTGACATATATTTCCGGCGCCGACTGGATATATTTCACAGACCCCCATACTCCTGTACTATAACATTGAACCTTCTTCCATTGCATATCCCAGCCTCTGTAGTACTGGTCCTACCGTAACTTCGGACGGACCTAGTAACAAACTGACACCTGCTCTCATTGGAACAGTCGTAATGCTGTAATGATGAGTTATGCCTTACTTCTATATAAACATAGTTAACGTAACAGATGCAACAAAAACACGATTCCGAATATTGTTATTTCCATTCAGTTATTAAACTTACCACTTACATATTAAATTTGATCATGATGTTATGAATAGTGATACCTTTGTATTTTATTATTTTATAACTTCTTATCAAGTAACTAATACTCATATGTCTTATCTTACACGCATTATCTAATGTGAAACGCAGTTTTGACATTATAATTAAGACATTTGTTGTGACGTTATTTCATGGTTTTGTCGATTTTCTGACCTACGTTAATGTCCAAATGGCGACGTTGAAATTTCGATGATTTTTTTTTTTTTTTATATTTTCCCATAATTTACATAAGATTTGTAAAACTTTCTGATTTGTTCTATAAATATCATTTAATGATATAAAGTAAATATAGTACTTTGCTACAGCACTCTAATATTGGTTTGACACAGCCGGGTGTGTCCTAGGCATTGGGAATTATCCATGACATTTTCCCTCTCTTATCTTATCTCTAGTGGAAAAATGAAGTGGTTCAATATCATGCTAAGAAAACCGATGCCTTCATTGAGGATAAATGTGATATTTAATTAGTAATACTTTAACGAGCTGTGGCAGCCCCGAGATAGGTTTTGGCAGGATAGGGGTCAGAGGTCATCAGGGATCACACAGGAAGGGTCCCGTGTTTCCTGGCTGCCATGTCGGTATCTAAACAAGTGTATAAATAGGGTAGTTAGAGATAGGCCTCGCGCTGGCCACTCCTGGTGTAGGCAAACAATACACGCCGAACAATAAAAGCACTAATATCTATGAAAGAAAACAAACTATAGAATTAAATCTAATCGATATGATTAAGTCTAAGAAGAAAAGGTAGTAAAACATATATTTTAAAAATTCTCACAAAAGAAATAGATGCAATGTGCATGTTAATAACGAAATACTTTTACAGACAAACTGAATACAGTTTTGGAATAGAAAAGGATATTGCTTCCTTCTTTTCTTAAAATATGATGTCAAAATTTCCAGACAGATAATGGTTTATATTTGTTTCAAACAAATGCTTTTTAAATCAAGCCCTTCCATTTTCAGGATTGCACAGTGGACCATCATGAGAAATAAAACTATCAGCCAATGATAGGCTTAGAAAACTGTTTATCTCCTGATTTAAAAAAATAACATACTTATGCTTATTTTCCATTTTTTATTTGCAGAATTCGGATTCCTCTGAATCAGCGAGCCCTTCCAGTATAGACAAGAAAACTAAGGGACGGACAGGCTGGCCCCAGCACGTGTGGGCTTCCGAACTTAAACAATAGTGAGGACAAACATGTCTGGTGTTTGCGAAAAACCTGCAGCAATTAATTCCGTTTTCCAATGATTCCATATCTTGTGGACAATATCCACGGAAATCTGTTTCCATGAAGCGCAGAGCTCCCGAACGGTGACCAAACATGTTGTCGGAAACAAACCGGATCCGGAAATCCAAACACAACGAGAATGGACGAGCATGGTCGTCAGGACGACGCACAGGAAGTAGTAAGGACGGAAGTGCGCGTGATAAGAAGAGCTATAATGGTATATTGCTTTACAAAATACTGCAATGGAATGGCCAGCAAGGATCACATAAAGTCTAACGTAATGATGAAGACATTTCAGACTCGACAGAGGCAAGTGGATGTGTGTTCTACAACTATAGCATATTTATTGGATTTATGTTTATGATTATTTTTGGTAACATTTTGTCAACAGAGAGTTTTATTTAGATGATATGACATGTTATAGTTTCATCAGAGCAATAACTTTATTCATCGTGGTTTTTTTATTTTTAAGATTATGTTTAATTTTGTTTACCATCATTCATCGGAGATAGATGCATTTAAAAGATTGAAGATGACCTCTGGTTTTCTCACAGACTCTTGTCTGCCTTGCTTTCTAATGTGTTTCTCTCACAAATAGATCTCTTTTTAACATGTTTGAATCATTCATGCCTTATTCATTCGAGGGATGTGACGATGGAATAAAAAAGTATACAAAGTATCACGATATGTATAAATAGGTAAGGAAGCATTTTTCTGACTACCTGAGTCAGTGGGGTCAGGCCTGACACGACGCGAGCTGTGTCTACCCAATCGTCTCAGTAAATGGAGATAGGACGATGGCTTGGGACCGTGTGAAATGGGCGTGCTAGTGTGCGTGTGAGATGGAGGTACATGATTTACACTGGTAGTAGCGAGTGTCTGAAGGTATACAAGTGTTTATGAGATTTTGGTCGACTGTTTGGTATAGAGCCGGTGTAAATGGTTTCGATTGTGTATACATTGTGTGTAAGTTAAACTTCACATTGCATTATCAATCAAATAATCATGTTAAATTAATCTTACTTTCTATTTTTGTCATTTGAATAACTTGTATTGATATTATTTATTTCTTACAAAACCCTGTGCTAGACACATACGTTATCACGGAATTCCAAAGACGAAAACGTCTGCAGAAATGTGAGCTTATAACTTTAAGTATATAAAAGAGACTTGCATTTTTATGATTTCATTTTTAGTATGAATATTCTGTATGGAGGTATATTATCTTATTACCCTTAAGGTATTTAACATTAAGCTTTCCAATCAGGCGATTAGCATACATTTACACGTCCTATTGTATGTGACAGGTGTTTATATTTGTTCATTGCATACTAAATGAAATTGATGAGTGAATTTTATATTTACGTTATACTGTGTGCCAAACTAGAAAGGTTTTGTTGGAACAATCCTCAGTTACTTTTGTGTTGAATCTCTAAAGAGATTATGTCAGGGTATGCCATCATGCAACCCGGAAAATAAACACAAACGATTTTCACAAACAAATTGTCCTGTTATCATTTATATAGATTATAAGACACGAACGCAGTATCTCATTACTGCATGCTCCAGAATATAAAGTCCTCCGTCTTATTATCTTCTGTCACGTTTTATTTCGTTTATGATATACACATGACAAATTTGAACTCCTGCTATTAAGAAAACAAAACAAAAATATGACTAACCGATGAACATTATGAATTAAAAATTATTATGATTTTCACTTCTATTCCCATTATCAAAACTCTTAGAATATTTTTAAATGATTGTATTATGATGTAATTCAGCCTGAACCTTTAGTCTCCTTTCTGTGGCGCGGAGTTTGTTTTAATATTGAATTTGCTCAACAACGTAAATGTATTTTCTTAACAAACTTGTTCTTAAAAGTAAATACCCTTTCCAACAATTGTAAGTACATGTTGACGGTCAGGGATCAGACGGAGTACCTATATTTTATATAAATTACAGCATTGACTAAAACAAAAAAAATGACTTAATGACTACAAACGTGATGAATAAGAAAAACGATCACAGAAATATTTATTATACAATGAAACGGTAACCAATGACAACTTTTGTTGTATAATAATAATATCAATATATGTAAAAACAAATTGTATTCGTGATACAAAGCTGCCATTTTGAAGAAATAAATAGAAAGAATATCATAGTATAAACACAAATAGGGGGAAATGCAACACAGAATTGACCCTAAACTATAAAACAATAGAATGCGAATCATGATAGAATTACCATTTGTGGTTTCCAAACAAGTATATTGTTGTTTCACGTCAAGTACAACGTACAGTAATAACATGTTTGAAAATCGTAGAAGGGTTAATTTCGAATTATATGAAGGTTGGGAAACGACTTTATATATTTACCATATTAGTGAGTTAATCATTTAACAGATAACACTACAGCAGTAAAAAGGTGTATTTGATAAAGTGAGTAGGAACCATATCCTTGACTGATTTGTCTTGTTATCGCTGAAAGTTTGTTATTGAAGTCATTACGGACAACCACTAACATTCCAGTAATGTTGGAATGTGTAATACTGGTAACCAATCCTGTTAATTATGCACAGGCATAACAAGGCTATTCGATTTGGGTAACAAGAAACAATGTTGTTTAGTGATAATTTTCCTCCGAAAGGACACGGTAGTGTTAATTTCATCCCCAAAATGAACAGCCTATAGTTATTGATCGGTTTTCCTTCCTGCTCTGCTCCAGACAAATGCCCTAGGCGTCAGTAGTTCCACAGAATTCATAGCATAATTCTCATCGATCCAGCCTTTTGATATTAAATTATATCACATATGGTTATCGTTACTGCAAGTTTAAACCAAATTAGTATCGACATTGCCAGTGTTATTCCTCGCTACGCACAGAAAAAAACGGGACTCGCTGTTCTATAAAACAAAACGTATCGTAACGATGTTTCTTTACAGAGCTAAATATCCTTGTTGTTACAGTTAACACTGTTTAGTATACTTCTTCTTTAATAGAAATAACAATTATCACAAAAAGGGTGATTTATAATGTTTTTCTTCTCGATGGTTATATTTATTTTATATAAATTATGACACAGGTGTTTTTGTTAATCAGCAGAATTGGCAAAATATCAATGGAAATAGGAAATAGCTTTAATTAACTATGCTTTGTAGAATTTATCAATGCCTGGTATTTGTTAAACTCTCTGAATTTAAAGAAGCAGGTATTTACAGATTTACCAACACAAAAACATAATATAATGTATCATAACATTGTTACAATTCAATTTTTATTTTATTTTTCTTATTTAATTATCTTTTAAGTAAATAACATATATTTTTTGACAAGAGTAATACCTAATATTGTTATTCTCTTTCGTGAAACGGCATGAAACAAAACACTTGTTTATCATATTGTTAATTATGCTATTTCTTAAATTATGAAAAATAATAATGCCTCAAACTATTTTCTAATGACAATCAGTATAACACTACCACGGGACACAGTAACAGAAGGCAATATAAATACAAAATAGAAATAAAACGGGGGATCAATGATGGATAGAATTTTTCAATTTATTTTTGTATAATTTCTTTGACTTTAGTTGTAGATTTATCTTCTCATACACAACAAAATCTTCCGCCACAAAGATACTGTGAAGTTCCTCATGGCGAAATGAAGTAAATAAATTGATATCATATATGATTTCAAATTTATTTTTCATTGACCAGTCGTCCACATAAACGCTTGCATTGAAAATAATATATTTATATTTGAATATTTTTTTTTAACTTATTATAAGTTATTTAATAGCTGATTTAAGTAAAATAACTTTATCAGGATACAAAAATACGCATTGCAGAAAGTGAAGGCAGGAAATCAATGATTTGTCATTGTTTGTCACTTAATCGGTTGAATGTACGACATGGCATAAAGAAAAGTGACACGTGTCTGTGCAGATATCAACATTTCAATTCTAATTTGGAAAACTTTCAACATTTATTTTAGTACGATTGTGGCTTTTTCTGGTAAAAAAATATTTAAAACAGTTTTCCGTATTAAACAATATATCTACATGAATGAAGAATAAACAAATCTTATTCTGTTGAAAATACATAAGTACTTTCTTAATTGTTTTCATTGATATCATTACGCATGCATTAGAGACATCGGCCAAAGCTAAACCCCAGTGCAAATCGTAAAACACCACGGCCCACGATAGTTCTAGTAAAATACTTAAGATATTTGGCAGCGATAACGGGCAAGCGGTTGAAAATTTCAGATAAACTAATAATAAAATGTGACTTTAATAGACATATTTATACAATATTTTGCAGCACAGCGGTTCGACATTATCACATACTGGTTCTGATAAGGGTGACATGCTTAGCCAATTTTGCTTACTTTTTGTCCCTGTATGAGGGTTTTTAGGAGATCGTTTATGAAACGCTCGAGGTTTACTTCTCCTAGGAGTTGATCGACAGACAAGAGTGGGACATTAAGAGTAGAAATTAAAGTGCACTCGTCAGTATAAAGCACTGATTGTGTCTACGAGGTTACAATGCTAACGGGACGGTGAAAGTGAAATAAAAACTTTTTCACTGACATCTTACTGTTCATAAACTTTACCGCACAGTTAACCCATAGCCCACATAGGAATCAATCATTTATCTTAATAAGGGAACGCACACTAAAATAAAATTGTGTTTCTTAAAAGTCAATTAGTAAATAGTAACAGAAAATTTTAGCTGACGATATAAACTAACATATTCACTTGCACTTTGTTATGTAATTAAACGACTATTTCTTTCCCTATTTTTAAGTTACACATTCAAAGCCTATTAGGTTGGTGATGCGAGTGAAAATTAAAGACTATGATTAAGATGATATACTTATCATAGACAGTTAATGTACTGGTCTTGAATGGATGTCATTGGGCTGAATTCTGATATGTATACCTTATGTACTACATTCAAATCCAGAATGCAATGTATAGCTACATGTCACACTTTGATTGTATGGTTAAGTTAAAATAACAAAATAGTTATATTTTACCAATAAAACAAATTATATCAGTAGGCTAATCACAAAGCTCCTCATCAATCAACAACATAAGCATTTATTTATACATTTGTCTTAAAAAATTATGAACCCCACAACAACAAAGAACAATTATAATCAAATAACAAATGAATACATAAATAAATAACAAATGAATAAATAAAATACTAAGAGAAGGCATGTGCACCACAAGGGTAAAAGTTTCCGGTACCACATGGACATCCTCATGATACTTCCTGTAGACATGTACCATCCTCATGATACTTCCTGTAGACGTGTACCATCCTCGTGATACTTCCGGTGGACATGTATCATCCTCGTGATACTTTCGGTGGACATGTATCATCCTCGTGATACTTTCGGTGGATATGTGCACGAAAGAAGTTCTAAATGTATTGATCAAATGACAAGCTTTAAAAGACAGTAAGCCAATAGTTAAAACTGACATGCCAAGAATATGTGATTATATTTTCAGAAAGAAATTTCCATATCCTAAAACAAGATACCCCGCCATATTCTTTGACTATATAAAATGTGCATCGAACGTCAGAACGTAAACATCATGTCGTTTTACACATACATACATTGCCATACCATCATACTAGAAGAAGAAAAAATAAATCGAACGCACCAAATTTTGGACACTAGCCATCGTAATGACGGGAATGGTCAGCTTTAAAGGAGGGTGATGATGGGGTCAATCTTTAAGTAAAACAAAAAACAACGCAATGCCTTAGAATGTGTATCTCTCTGATTGAGCCCCTACCAGCACATGTCATAAAATAATGATCATAGCGAAGCAATCTATTGAAATTAAATAATTCTGTGAATTATTGTGTGCATTCATTAACAACAGTGCTGGAAAATTTGAATTTATAGATGTTGTCTAGATAGTTTACGGGATATTTTAAAGAATATACCTGCATTTCGTGTCTATGGTGATGCAGTGGGTATGGATGAAGAGCCTATGAACATTAATTTTATCATGAGAACATATGTTTTTGTATAATAAAGCACAGGTCTGCTTTCAAATACGAAGGTGTTCAGGCTTTGCTTATTATGACGTAATATAGTATGATCCGTTTGATGAAATCATAATGCATGGCGTCACAATTAACATCACCTTGAATAAACAGACTAATGAGTCTCAAAGACCAGATGAAAGCACTAAAATTAAGTTTATTTAGTGAGAAATTAATTACATTTAATAATTTCTTCAAACCTTAAAGGAATTCCTACCGCTGCTTAGTAATCTTATCATATAAATGCTATGTACATAGTTTACATAAGACAGTGCACTTGAACATTATAGTTTGTCCTAAGTCAAGCATACTCATTCTAGCTCTTGCACCTGTTGGCATGTTTCATCCACGACATGCATGCTTGATGCACAGGTGCTGATATAGTTTTAATTATGATTTTAGTACAGGTTGCATTCTGA